CCTTGGAATAGGACTGTTCCTGTTTTGAAGGAAATTAAAGGGTCATATGAAATCAAGGATACTTTTAAAAGACTCTTTTTGTCGAGGGCCACTTATTATTGAGTGTCTTGTAATAGAGGTTCCACTGTATCAGCTAATAAGAGTTTTACAAACAAAACAGTAGGACAAGTTTAGATTATTGTTGATTTTTGATTCGTAAAGTAGATATTGTGTTAATAGGGTACTAGGTGAATCCCGTCGAAATCGACGGTTACTCTTGAGTTTTTAGGAAAAAGGCAAGCACCAACCCCTACAATAAATATAAGCTAACCCGATAAGGAATAATTATCTGTTCCTTTGAAATTGATATGTCCCAGTGATTTCATAATACAACATTTTACAAGTGCATTAAAACATAAATAAAAAAAAAATAAATCGTACCTATCATAAATTCATTATTTTATTCAAACTATAAAAAACTTGCCATGCAGTGGAAAATCAATTTTAAAATCATAAATAACTAGTGTACTTGTTGCTCGAATTCGAGCAATTGCGAAGCATTACAGGCGTTATTTTAAAATGAATAACAGTCATAATTTCCGATGACTTTATAAGAGTCGACTCAAAGATTATGGAAATACTCAAGATGTACACAACAGTTATATATAATCAAAATTTTTTGTAAATATCTTATCTTTTTCTGAAAGCTGACCTTGTTTTTTAGCGTTTTCTACAAATTTTCCCCACTCATAGCTGCATTAGGTTGACTATAATAACGATTATAAATGAAAAAAAAACATTATTTCTATTTCTTCTACTGTACTTGGTTGTGTTCTATGACTTTCCTGTTTCCATTGTTTGCAAATCAGCACTTTCAATTATTGTTCAAGAAATGTAGCAGAGTGTTAATTCAGTTTTATTTTTAGTATATCAAATTGTCCATAATTTCTCTCTTTTTTCCATTGTAATTTTAAAAATGACACCAAACAAGTATCGTCTACTACAGATGCAATACGCCAAAGAATATCGTCTACGTGCAATCTCCAAGAAGTGGTAAAAAAGGCAGAAACCAACCCATACAATAGATATAAGTTACAGGTAACGCCATAAGAAATAATTTTAAGGGTTACTGTGATATTAGGATTTTCCACTGATTTGGTAAAAGAACATTATATTGCAAAACATAGCACGATTCAAAAGAAAATCAATTTTAAAATCAGCAAAAACCATTGCAAATACTTCATTTTGACAAATAAATAACAAGTAAATCACAATTTAAATATTAACAGCTGTTTCATTAAAAAGAAGTGTAAATGTATGCATATGGTCTTGATGTAAACAAATCTGAAGAGGGAACTTCAAAGGCCTCTGGGGCAGAGCCCCAAGGGAATTTACCTTGTTTCTCTTTTGATGGCTCATCTACAGACTAAGACCTTTCTTTAGAGACCCCTACCAAGTTTCTACGCCCAGCCGTTCTCTGAAATTAGCTGTGACAAAATCCAGTTATCCCTCCATAAGAATAACATGGGATGGGGATTTAAAGGCCACTGGGGCAGAGCCCCAAGGGAATTCACCATGTTTCTCTTTTGATGGCTCATCTACAGACCAAGACCTTTCTTTAGAGACCCCTACCGAGTTTCTACGCCCAGCCGTTCTCTCAAATTAGCTCAAATTATCAAATTTAACAAAGAAAAACAGTTTCAAATTAATATTTAGTCTAGTGGAACCCCGTCGAAATCGACGGTTAATCTTGAGGTTTTATGTAAATTCAGCTAACTGCATTGGATAGAGTGAAGTCATTAAAATCTTAGTTATATGAAGGGAGGATAAGCAATAATAAGTATGACGATTGTGTTCCCTAAAAAACGTGATTGATGAATTCGTTTAACACAATATTTCCTACCTTTCTTTTTATCGGCTTTAGGTTGCCCAAAAGATTTTTTAGGAGTCTTATAATTGTTTGTTCATGAGTTTGTTTCATACCAAAGCCACTTTCACTATATGGGAGAACGAGTTCATATAATTAGTCTATCATGTTACGGAAAGAGTCAATATTTATTACTAACCACTAATTCCATCAGCTTTAGGAAAATCATTCAGATTGTATCCGGATTTATAAATAAATCTTCATCTTTTTTTGATAAAAATATCTGATTCTCCAGAAAGCAGTACCTAACATTCTTACTTCGATCTCAGCAATTTTAAATCCTTCTCTTGCCACATCGACCCATGTATTTAATCATCCTGTTCTTACTTGATAATTCATTAACTTATGGGGTAGTTTTGCCTTGGCCATATAGATCACATAAAGCTGTGCATGTATTTCGTGGATTGGAATAAACCATAATTGTAGGAAATTTTATCACAAATCTTGAACATTTGTGGAACCAAATCCATAACCTACTCCAGCATTGGTAACAAATTATGCAAATGCGATGAGATGTGATGACGCTGTTGTGTTTCCGAATGTTTTGTATGTAGTGAGGTTTAGATGCGTTGTTCAACCTAGCTACATGTGTACATCAAAGTAAAAACTGTGTACACATTTTTTTTTAATACCTGAATTGACATTAGTTCACCTACTTTACCAAAACCATAGACTCCGTAGTTAGTCTATTCCAAAACTTGAACACAGCTCTCATCCTTTAACGTACTCATCTATGACACAATTTTCAACCCGATTATCAAAAACTGTTATACCAATAAATGAATCTCAGGTGTTCTTTCTTGAATTTAAAAATAAATGGTGATTGAAAGTAGGAAAAAAAGGCAAGTGCCAACCTTACAATATGTATAAGCTAACCCGATAAGGAATAGTTATATGTTCCTTTGAAATTGATAAGTCACACTTATTTCATAATTTAAAATTTTCTAAGAGCAATAAAGCATAGATTTTTGAACAAAACATTTCAAATGTATCATATATTCATCATTTTGTTGAAACTATGAAAAACTTGCCATGCAGTGGAGAATCCATTTAAAATCATAAATAATAATGTAAACATTTAATTTTGACAGTTTCAGTAGACCTTTGAATACAATTTTAATATTAACAGCTGGTTTATTAAAAGTAGTGTAAAATTATCCATATGGTCGAAATGTAAACAAAATTGCAGAGTGAACTTTAAAGGCCTCTGGGGCAGAGCCCCAAGGAAATTTACATCGTTTCTCTTTTGAGGGCTCACCTACAGACCAATACCTTTCTTTAGACACCCCTACCAACTTTCTACGCCCAGCCGTTCTCTCAAATTAGCTGTGACAAAAACCACGTTTTTCTCCATAAGAATAACATGGGATGGGAATTTAAAGGCCATTGGGGCAGAGCCCCGAGGGAATTCTCCATGTTTCTCTTTTGATGGCTCATCTACAGACCAGGACCTTTCTTTAGACACCTCTACCGAGTTTCTACGCCCAGCCGTTCTCTCAAAATAGCTGTCACAAAGAAAAACAGTTTCAAATTAATATATAGATAACTAGCTGAACCCGGCAGACGTTGTCTTGCCTTTGACTATTTTATAATTTAAGTACCGTAACGTTTAATTGTCTTATTGTATATGAAGTGCTTATACCTAAATTAAAATACGTACGACAACTAATGAAACACATATAGTACAAAGGATAACCGATTCGTTATTATTGCTCTTATATTAATGCTAGGTTATGCTAGCTTAATTATTAATGGTTATTTTCATTCATGGTTATTAATGTCAGTATTTTTAAGATGATCTCGTTCGCATGGCTCAATCACGTCCTGGTTGAAGTTCGTTCGCTCCGTTCACTCACCTTTAGGTTGGAGCTCGTTCGCTACGCTCACTCACCTTTAGGTTGGAGCTCGTTCGCTGCGCTCACTTGCCTTCAGGTTAGCTCGTTCGCTACGCTCACTTGCCTTCAGGTTAGCTAGTTCGCTACGCTAACTCGCCTCCAGGTTGAAGTTCGTTCGCTACGCTCACCCACCTTTTGGTTGCAAATTAGCTGTTGTCATAAATGTAAAAGAAATAATAGTGCTGCACCCTGTTGGTAATCCTTGTAACTTTAATGCTATTGAACATCATAGAACAGAACCAACTTGTTTAATTGAAACAGCTGTTAAGATTCATTAATTCCATTTCTCATAAGGTTAACATGGAAAACTCCAGAGCCACTGGGGCGGAGCCGATTGGACGGATCACGAAATTGATGGTGTATAAACCTATTCCATGAAATTCTACACGTATGTACCAAGTTTCGTGGCAATCGGTTCAGCGGTGTCTGAGTTTATCACTGCCAAACAAACAAATATATATATATATATATACAAACATCCTCTTTTATACTTATAGATGTAAACATTTCATTTTGACAGATTCAGTAAATGCTCATAACAGCTGTGTAAAAGTAGTGTAAAATTATCTATATGGCCGTAATGTACCTACACAAATCTGAAGAGGGAACTTTAAAGGCCTCTGGGGCAGAGCCCCAAGGGGATTTAGCTTGTTTCTCGTTTGATGGCTCATCTACAGACCAAGACTTTTCTTTAGAGACCCCTACCAAGTTTCTACGCCCATCCGTTCTCTGAAATTAACTGTGACAAAAACCCGTTTTTCCTCCATAAGAATAACATGGGATAGGCATTTAAAGGCCATTGGGGCAGAGCCCTAAGGGAATTTACCACGTTTCTCTTTTGATGGCTAATCTACATACAATAAAAGGTTAAATTACCTGTGTCCGCCAGTCGATCCTTATGTGCTGTGTCCTATTACAGGAAAATGTATGTCACACCGATCCGGGACAACAATAAACAACATAAAATGAAGCTAATCTACAGACCAAGCCCTTTCTTTAGACACCTCTACCGAGTTTCTTTGCCCAGCCGTTCTCTCAAATTAGCTGTGACAAAGAAAAACAGTTTCAAATTAATAACCTTTGAATAGTAACCTTTGAATTACCCTAAATGCCCCGACAAGCTAACTTAATTATTTCAATCAACTTAGGCTACATAAGAGTATCAATGTTTGTTATGTAGTTTGTTTAGTCTCACGTACATTGTTCTCGCCGTAGATGATGAGTAGCCACCCAAGTATGAGGGGCCAGGCCAGTAGTAGCAAGAAGCCACGTCTGCCCAGCTTATGTGACAGTGTCCCTGCGGGGATAGCACCGACTAAGCAGCCCAAAGTGACGATGCTGCCTACCCATGAAGCTTGCTCATCAGTGATAGGGTTGGTCACCTCTGTACCCATGTGACCCTGCAGGTAGGGGATGGCGGGGGATGACCAGCCTGCCACCGCTCCCGTGGCCATTGAGATCAGACTGGCTGTGAATCACATACATATAATGTATGTCAATCTGTTGTAATTAGCGTTTTGTATATAAATGTTTATTTATGAGTCATTGTGTTTGCTACAGCATAAAATAAAACACCGAGATGTGTGAATATACTTCTGCATTTGGTTTTGGTCCGTCTGCTCTGTTCACTAAGTCCCAGAGATCAATTTTATTTACTTCATATATAGCAGGTTTATTGGACGGAGACAGAAGTAGTCAATAATAACAACAGCTCGATCTTGTAGCATTGAAACTTGAACACATATTTTACATGAACTTATGGAGGAATCGGTATATTTTCCATAAATTGTAATTAACAACCCTGATATTCAGGGCCTAGCATGACTATGGTTAAAAAATTAGGCTAATTCAATCTAAGAGCTGAAAGTCATTTAGAGCCATCTTTTTCCCACAGCATATCTTGTCGTTTTCTTCCTGTTTTTGTCAGTCCTAATATTGTCTTTATAAATTGTATTACTTCCCCTTTGCTTCTATTTAAAATCATGTTTTTGTATGCATCCAAACAAATAAATAAGCTTGGAGTTTTTCTCCAGGTAGTACAAACTGTGTTTTTTGAACCCAGTGACAAGACCTGTATTATACAGTAATTATTTACCTATTTTGCCTGAAGGTCTTGTAGTTAATACTTGATTAACACTCGATGCGCATTTCGCCGCTCAGTGCGGCATCTTCATGGAGTATCTTCTTAAACACTACTGTTACTATGTACATATTTACAAAGTATTTACCAATCACTAACCGGTCACATTCGCGGTCGCGGTTGCCCGGCGGCGACACAAGCGGCGGGGTACATTTCGTTCCGCCGTCAACAGTGCGGAACGAAATGTACCCCGCCGCTTGTGTCGCCGCCGGGCAACCGCGACCGCGAATGTGACCGGTTAGTGATTGGTAAATACTTTGTAAATATGTACATAGTAACAGTAGTGTTTAAGAAGATACTCCATGAAGATGCCGCACTGAGCGGCGAAATGCGCATCGAGTGTTAATCAAGTATTAACTACAAGACCTTCAGGCAAAATAGGTAAATAATTACAGTACAAACTGTATTTTCCTACGTTTATCACCACACAAATATTCTTCCCAAGAGGTGTGCTTTGGAACAGTCAGAGATTCATTTAGGATAAATTTTGGAAAATTCTGGATTGTTTACAAAATATGTAAGCTACTTTTTAGAAACTTCAATATCCACTAGTTGAACATTTACTTGTGCTTACCCAGCAGAGCCGCAAGATGCTGAGGCCACTTCTTGCTGTGAGATAACACAGTAGACTCCTTGGCTAGGAGAGCCTGGGTCTCAGAGATGACCACTCTACCTTCAGTCATTCTGCAACAGAGTGGGTGGTGCAACAGTTACAGTATAGCAGAATGTTCACTAGTAGTACTTTTTTAATACTTTTCAATGAAATGGCAACCATACAAAGTAGGTATTTTAAGCCAAGTATGAATGGATATGAGTGTAGAATGAGTGGCGCGATCTTGTAGTCTTGTTAGTGACTAAGGCCGGCATATTCCTTAGACACAGCTGTTAATTAATAGCCCATACAGCTAATGGCAACTAAGGGACCTACAGTTTATAGTGGAATCCGAACAACATTTTTGCCTTGGTATATACAAATTGGTCTAATTTTCAGGATAGTACTGCGGATAGTCGTAGTACTCACTCGTGCGGACGTTAATCCACACCAGGGAGTATCGCATCCACAGTGCATGCCTATAAATATCCACAATTTGTAACCTCCTATTAGCTGGATTACAAGACAACACCACCTTAGTGTTAAGGATTCATCATTGAAGACTATTTTTATAGCTATCTCCATGTAGAGAAATTTCCAAAACCTTCTTCGTATTAAAAACTATTTGTAACTAAATTGTACAGAAAATTTACTCCAAATAAAAAAAAAACTTTAAGCCAAGGGTCCCCGCAAGATATATTGCTGTAGGAGGGGGGCAAACTGTGGTAATGATTCTGTCAATTAGGAATATTAAGATAGCTTATAGGAAAGGATGAGGAAAAGGCTCCTAAAACCACTGAGTCACACCACTAGTTGCTAGTGGTATTAAATCAATCCAACAGCATCCCGCTGCCACTCTAATGGATAGAACCAGAAGGCCTGTCTTATTCAATAGATTGTGCCTTAATTAATTTGCAAACAAATTGCCTTTTAACTTTACAATTAACGAGGTTTGTGATGAATGCATACCTCGCAGGAGGAACAGGTGCAATAAGCCACCTGGCAAGACCTCAGTATTAATACTAGTGGGTTGAGTGCAGAATTGCATTGAACTGCCTTGAGAGCTAGAAAACTTGCTACTGGAACCGGTAGTCAGATTTATTTATTATTTATTCGAGTACAAAAAAATAAGTTTTACAAATAAGTTTCCAAGAAGCTGCAAAAGCCTTACAAGGCTTGTCTGCAGCTAACACTATAGATAACAAATCATATTCCGATATTCGTTCCAAAGTCCAAAAATCTATCAGTCAGCAGCGGCTTCAATCTTAATTTAATAAACTACGTTAATTTTAACCACAGCTAAGAATATGATGTATAACAATAAAAATAAAATTAACAACAAATACTGTATCAACAATAATAAATATTTTTCATGGCAATTACAAAAATATAACAATAGGCTATTTAAACTATCTATTCTATATATAATTCAGTTTTAAAAATCTTTTGTACAACTAAATGTAAGAGTTCTACTGGACCGATTTCATTAGTTAATGGGTCGTTGGAAAGCTTAATTTGTGTAGATTTGCAAATAATGATGAAAGTTTGTTTTTGTCATGATTTATAGGGAAAAAAACATGTTTTCCATAAGAAATACATTGAAACGGTGTTTTTCACACTTTTTATTTGGGTAAGACTTTTGGCTGCCTTTTTTGAGTTTTTCCAAGAAGTATATGGTATCAATTTGTAGGAAATTTTATTCTCTTTCAGAATATTACCTTACACTTTAGTTGATTTCCTCACCATTTCAAAGTTATTTGATTTGCATAAAAGCTAAGCAACCTCCGAATTTATAGTAATGAGAAAATACTGAGTTATCCCTATTTTTTTAAACTTTGTACAACTAAATCTAGACTTTTACTGGACCGATTTTGTTAATTAATGGGTCATTGGAAAGCCCAACTAATGTAGATTTGCAAATAATTATGAAAGTGTGATTTTTTTAAATATTTTTGGTAAAAAAGTAAAAATAACAAAAATACAATAAAAACAGGGTTTTCAGGTTTCTGTTTTCAAGTTTCTATTTGTAGCCAGCTTTTGGCTGCCTTTATTAATAATTTTCAAGAAATGCATAGTAGTTATTTATAGTAAATTTTATTCTCTTTCAGAATATCACTTCATTTTGGTCGATTTCTCCTCCGTTCAAAAGTTATTGGCAATAATCTAAGCGATATCCAAATTTATAGTGGTGAGAAAATACTGAATTAGATATATTTTTGTTAAACTTTGTACAACTAAATCTAGACTTCTACCGGACCGATTTTGTTACTTAATGGGTCGTTGAAAAGCCTAATTCGTGTAGATTTGCAATTGATTATGAAAGTTGGATTTTATTACATACTAGCTGTGTGCCCGTTCTACGCACGGGGATCTTATAGGAGTAGTAAGTAGAAACCTTATTATATAAAGAACAGCAGTTGGTTTGCATATTTTCAGACGTGCTGGCACAATTATTATATCTAAACCTAATATTATGACATATAAAGAAAAAGCAAAACATATATAAAAACTTTGGTGACAGTTTGAACCAAACAATCTCATCAAAACAGCTTTTTGTTATTTAGAATATGACGTATTCTCTAAACGATGTTTGGTATATGTAGCTAATATTACTGTAGAAGGAAATGTGAACAAAATCACACAATGTTGTGTTTTTTTTTTAGTTTTTAATTTGATTTCCTAAGTAGGTACCTAGGCCATGTATTTTAGGGAAAAGTACCGGTATCAAGGATCGTCGTCGAATAGGTTGTTATGAATAATTGGGTAGGCTATGTACCCAAGATACAGTCTTATTGGCCTATTGGCTGTATGGTCCAGCGACTGTAGCACATAGGGGGGATGCATTGCACGACGTCCAAGTGCCACGACGTCCAATAATATTTATTCAGTGCCACGACGTCCAAAACATAATTTTTGAGTTGTTGCACGACGTCCAAGTGCCACGACGTCCAAAAGTACAGTAACTGCCAAAAATATAGTCTTTCTACAAGCTTTGGACGTCGTGACACTTGGACGTCGTGAAACAGCGCACTATAGAATTGTAAAAAAGTTACATTTGCGGGAGTGTTGCACGACGTCCAAAGTCGCTGCCAGTTGCACGACGTCCAAGTGCCACGACGTCCAATAAATATTTGACTGTTGCACGACGTCCAATATAGCTCAGCGCTGTTGCACGACGTCCAAGCTCCTTCATGATGACCGGTTACGATGACCGGCTACTTGCCGAATAGTGTTCTCTCGTGTAAAATGCTTATGGAACGTTTATTAGTTATATATACATGGGTATATGTTCTTGTTCAGAAATATATATACTATGAATATTTGAACCATTAATTGAAACATCATAAAGTAAAAAAAACATTAAAAGAAAAAAATAAACAAGGCAACAGTTGGAAAACTATAAGGTTTACATGGTTTGAAAAATGATGACATTTTCTTAACAACCGATCAACTTCATTATGTTTGGAGTAAGCTTTTAAATACTTATTTTTTCAAGACTAGATGAATGTACATTGATCAACATGATCTTTGAAAACTATTTTTTATACCCTCATTTTAATTTTTACTAGTATAAAGAATAGAATGCCTTTTTCGAACTGTTTTTTAGGCTTCAATTAAATGTCTTTATGTAGCAAATATGTTTGTTAATAGTATTCACTTAACATTGACTTAATTTCATTTCAATAAATTTTGTGTTTGTGTTTTGCTACACCACTTATTAAATTGCAACCAATGAGAATCTATATAAATAAAATTGGTGTTTTGTCTGTACATTGCTCAGAATCATTCATTTGTAGGTTATTTTTACGTTTTATACATTAAAGAAGCCGAAACAAGTCTCATCTAAATTTCTGTCTGTCTGTCTTCCTGTCTTTCTGTAACACTCAAGATGACATTTTACGCAATCTTCTCCAGGAAAACGAGAGTACCTATCAAGATCCAAGTCATTTTAATGTATTCACTGGATTGGCGATAGTGTCTTTAGCCATTAAAATATGGCCTCACTACTTAGTAAATAATATTACGGACTTTAAAAAATGCAGTTTTGTGCGATTTTTGTCAAGTTTTCGTCCAATTTTTATCACAGAATGATCTATGAAATAACGAACAGCTGTTCGGATCAAGATTATTTTTTCTCGCTGTCACTGATATGTTTACAAATACCACAACCATTTCCGATCACGTTTTGAAGGCAAAGCCCATTTATCCAAGTGAGATTAAAATCGTTGTCTTACATAACGGATTTAATTAATCGCAAGTGGAATAATATAGTGAAACCGTAAATGAAATTTAATAACATCATCCAGGTTAGGAACCAGAGATTCTTTGTGTATAAAATTGTTCTTGAGTTTTGATAACCTTGAATCAGTGTTGTATAGGGCTGGGAAACTTGAATTTATTAATGAACGTCGCCAATACCTTACTAACTCATTGACGGCGCTTCGATGGTGGTTGTGTAAAGTGTAAAGTAAAAAATCACAACTGCAGTGGGTGATTGTAACAGAGGTTTACGGTTTATGGATGATGCTAAACTCGCTTTTCCAATGTGTCACTTTCTGTTCCTACTCACCGTATGATGCAATCGCTGGACCATACAGCCAATAGGCCCACAGCCCATCTCTTGGGTACTTACGCCTACCCAATTATTCATAACAACCTTTTCGACGACAATCCTTGTTACCGGTACTTTTCCCTAGAATACACGGCCTCCCTACTTAAGAAATAAAATTACAAACGTCCAAAAACCCAGCATTGCGTGATTTTTGTCACATTTCATTCTAATGTTAAAAGATATACCAATCATTGTTTAGAGAATAGGCCTGCGTAATCTATTAAATAACAAACAGTTGTTTTTATAAGGTTGTTTTTTTTTTCAAACTGAATAAGTTTACATTAAAAGTTGTTTACGAATAAAGCAATTCTGCGAAATAATTTTGATTGCCGATAACTTTTCACGAGAAAATCCAAAACCAAGAAATCAATAACCTTGGGACTTGATTAACGCATTTAATTTGTCGGACGTAATTCTTAACTGTAAACGTTGGTTTTTGGTACTGGTTTTTTTCCTTAGAACCGTTGGTAGCAGCAAGAA